ACTGACTGGTGATTCCGGAAATATCCGATCCACCAACCTTACCAAGCGCTTTAGTGACACTGATCAGTGACTGTGAGTAACTCATTCGAATTTTCTCTATTGACATTTTCACGTGAGGACCACCTGCGCAGACCATCAACAACGCTGGATTAAAGTAAATTTACTTGATTAACATTATATTTAGTATTGTTTATTTATTTATTCAACACTATACTATATTTGGTGTAAAGTTATTCACTTTTGATTGAATTTTACCTGGCCAGATAAGAGATGTAAAATTTTGAAAATACGTGTTGTTGAAAACAGAAATTTTTCAGTCGTCTTACATTGTTTATTATTTCCTTAATTATTTATTATTGTAGCAATTTCTTAATACGAATATTTAAAAATATTTTGACTTAGACTAAAGAAAACGGACTGACGTAGGTACAGTTGGCCAGTAAGTTTGTTGTATAGGATAGTGTTTTAGAGGAAATTCGGTTTGATATTGTATAGATCAGTTCAGTTGAGTCAAGGTAAGCTTATACAGTGAATTTGAGGATTTGAATTTGTCAGAGTATACAGTGAATAGTGAACTACATTTTGTTTACATAGAAACCGATACAGTATAAATATAGTACAAGAATACAGAGTCTGATCAAAAGTTTGTCTGTCATGGTGTCCACTTAGTTTAGTGTTAAGCTACTAACATCTTAGCTTCTGACCTTTTCAGCTCAAGATATAAACAAGGTTTAAAAAAAAAATCGCGTAGCATTTTGTGTGTTTATTGCCAAATGTAAATTGTTTAAAACAGTTTAAAACAATTTAAACATGTAAATTATAACAACATAAACAAAACATTTAACAAGTCTTTATTTACAGGCAATCAGCGTGTCGGTTTATTTATTTCATCCGTCAGTTAGATGCGCGTCGGTTTCTTTGTGTTTGAGTTGTCATTTATTTTTTTTTTTACATGCTTGCTATACAGTTGCAATTTTTGCATTGATTAGTGAAATACTTGCATGATTTGGTATTTATTAGTCATTATCATCATGGCAGAGTTTTCAGAGACAGAAAAGTCTGACTTGTTGTCTACATTTCAGACATTAGAGATCAAACCAGAAGGTAGTACCCCTGAAGAATTTAAGAATTGGGTTTTGAAATATGCTGATTCCTTAAAGAAGGAATTACCCATGCCGTCTGATCATGTTAGTCCTGGTATTGACCATGTCCTTACCCCTTCTACTCCTAACCCATTTCTCGGTGACCATGTCCCTCCCAGTCCTAACCCATTTGCCCATGACCTTACCCCTCCCAAGCCTAGTCTATTTGCCCATGACCTCACCTTGCCAACTTCCTCGACCCACATTCCTTTGAGTGGTGTCCCGAAAATATCAGGGTTTTCAGGTGACAAAAAGGGTGATATTTTATATGACCAATGGAGATACGAGGTAAAGTGTTTACAGGCAAATGATTTTTCAGAAAACATTATTTGTTTAGCGATCAGGAGATCATTGCGTTCTCCAGCAAGTAGAGTGCTTATGCGTCTAGGACCAAATGCAACTGTAGAGGAAATTTTAAATAAACTAGACAGCATCTATGGCATTGTGGAAGAGAAAGAAACACTACTCGCTAACTTCTACAGTGCGAAGCAAGGAGAAAGTGAGGATATCTCAACATGGGGATGTAGACTAGAGGATCTACTTAGCAAAGCTATAATGCGAGGACAAGTAAAACAAGGCGATGAAAATGAAATGTTAAGGAACATGTTCTGGAATGGAATGAAGCCTAGTTTGAAGGACATATCAGGCCATTTACACGACAAATACCTCGATTTTGATGAACTGAGAATGGCAATGAGAGTAATCGAGCAAGACAAAGAGAAAAGAACAGAATCAGAAAAACAGTCAAAGCCTATACCATCAAAGAGAGTTACTGTAGACAGAAAGCAGGAGGAAGATTTAAGAGGTGTTGTAAATAGACTGTCAACGGAATTAGAGGAGATGAGGAGAGAAAGGAGAAATGATCAGTACAGAGGAAGAGGAATGACACGAGGAAATTTCACTCCTAGATTTAGAGCTCCTCATAGATTTAGTACGCCATATAGATATCAGACTCCTCAGATGCAGCAAAATACCAGATTTCCGACCTCACAACCAACAGCCTCTGAGGAAGTTGTATGCTGGAGATGCGGCCAACAAGGTCACCTCCAAATTGGATGTCGAGTTAAAGTCGACCATTACAGAGGACATTTAAACGGACGTCGACCGTCGGTAAGGGGACGACGATAGGTCGGAGATTAGAGAGCCCCATGTACCAGCCGAAATTAATTGGTGAATCAACAGAGACAGACATCCTGATTTCACAGATAAAAGCTAGAGCCTTATTAGACACAGGATCAACAGTATCCACAATATCAAGATCATTTTATGACGACAATCTGCAAGAAAATCCTCTTCATCCAATACAAGATTTCATCAACATCGAGTGTGTAGATGGAAATTCTCTTCCTTACTTAGGTTACATTGAAACAGAAATTCAGCCAATAGGAATTCCCAACTGTCAACCTTTACCATGCCTTTTCTTGATTGTACCAGATTCGAATTACAGCAAATCAACTCCAATATTATTAGGAACCAACATCATCAACTTATTTCTTAACAACACTCATCAACAGTATGGAGAGAAATTCTTGCAGGAAACACCATTACAAACACCTTGGTATTTAGCATTTAGAAGTTTACAGCTGAGAGAAAAAGCATTGATGAAACAGAATTTTAGATTAGCCGTAGTGAAATCAGCCGAACAACAGACAATCACCATCCGTCCAAATAGCCAAGTAGTGATTAATGAATATACAGATAGAAAGATCCCATACCACTTAACTTGTGCATTACTACAGTCAACAAAATACTCCAGAATTCCAACAGATCTTGACATTGAACCAGCTGTCGTTAACTTCAACTCGAAAGAAAATCAAACCGTACCAGTCAATATCAGCAACTTGACAACAAGAACAGTGACTGTAAATCCAAAGGCAATCTTATGTGAACTTCACCCAGTATCCATCATAGAACAGCCTCAACATCTACAACAGGAGGAGATAACCCATTTACAGGATGTGAAAATATCTACTGACAACTTATCATCAAGTCAGATACATGAAGTAAATGAACTACTCAGAGCGTACGAGGATATATTTTCAAAAGGCGAGACTGATATTGGATTTAACGACACCGTAAAGCACAGAATTGACTTACTCGATGAACAACCTTTTAAGCAGAGAACACGAAGAATACCACCTGCTATGTTTGAAGAGATCAGAAACCATTTACAGATGCTTTTAAATTCCAACGTTATAAGAAAATCAAGTTCACCATTCTCGAGTAATGTGGTCTTAGTTAGAAAAAAGGACAACAAATTAAGGATGTGCATAGATTACAGACAACTTAACCAGAGGACTAAGAAAGATGCATATGCCTTGCCGAGGATAGAAGAAATTCTTAATGCTCTTTCAGGAAACAGTTACTTTTCAGTTTTGGATATGAAGTCCGGGTACCATCAGGTAGAGATATTAGAAGAACATAAAGAGCGTACAGCATTCACCGTAGGACCTCTCGGATTTTATGAATTTAACAGACTACCATTCGGACTATCAAACAGCCCTGCCACCTACCAACGGCTGATGGAGACCTGTTTAGGAGACCTACATTTGAATATTTGTTTTATTTTCCTCGACGATTTAATCATATTCTCAAGATCATACGAAGAACACATCCAAAGATTACAACTAGTTTTTGACAAACTTAGGGAATCAGGACTCAAACTATCACCAAAGAAGTGTAACCTATTTATGAGGAAGGTAAAGTATGTAGGCCACATTGTTTCAGAGGAAGGAATAGAGACAGACCCAGAGAAAGTACAGAAAGTCCTGGATTGGCCCATTCCAAGAACACCAGAAGAAATAAGAAAGTTTATTGGTTTCATCGGGTATTATAGGAGATTTATTCCCAATTTTAGTAAAATATCTAAGCCACTGACCGAAATGATGCCAAAATCCAACAGTAATAAAGACAAAAAGGGAAAACAAGCAGCCAAGGAATTTAAATGGGGAACAGAACAACAACAAGCCTTCCAACATCTTAAGAAACTTTTGACAGAGCCACCTATTCTTGGATATGCTGACTACAATCTTCCATTTGAGCTACATACAGACGCCAGACAACTAGGACTTGGAGCTGTACTATACCAGGAACAACAAGGAAGAAAAAGAGTTATCAGCTATGCCAGTCGCAGTTTAAGTCCTACAGAGAAGAACTACGCAGCACACAAATTAGAGTTCTTAGCTTTGAAATGGTCGATTTGCGAAAAATTTCATGACTATCTCTATGGACATAAATTTACAGTACTGACGGACAACAATCCTTTGACATACGTACTGACGTCAGCCAAACTTGACGCAGCAGGGCATAGGTGGTTAGCAGCTTTATCTGTTTATGATTTTAATATTATTTACAGGCCTGGTAAACAGAACCAAGATGCAGATGCCCTGTCCAGAAGACCAACTAATGATAATTTTCAGTCCATTTCTACAGATTCCATCAAAGCCGTATGTAAAGCAGTTCATGCAGAGCCACTTGTCACTACTTTGTCCTTAGATACTTCAATTATTGATAAAAATTTTTCTCAACAGGATGTTATTGACCAGCAGATAGATTGGTATAGTGTTCAGAGAAACGACCCGACTATTAGATCCTGGATTCATCATGTAAAGCTACAAAAGAAACGTAGACTTGAGGACTTACCATTTCATCCTCATTCACAGGCATTAGTTAGAAATTTCAACAAACTTAGATTAATCAACAATATTCTTTACAACTTCATTCGACAAGATGAATCAGCAATTAGTAATACCCATATCATTCAAAGACAAAGTTTTGATGGAATTACACAACAAGTTTGGACATCCAGGTAGAGAAAGAACATCATCTCTAGTCAAAGACAGATTCTATTGGATAGGAATGCATCAAGACATCGAAAACTGGATAAAGAATTGCAACAGATGTGTGCACAGGAAACCAACAAACCAGAAAGCACCATTAGTCAACATCAATTCCTCTTATCCATTAGAACTTGTTTGCATGGATTTCTTGACATTAGAGATGAGTAAAGGAGGATATCAACATGTACTTGTTATAACTGACTACTTCACTCGTTTTGCGCATGCGGTACCAACACGCAATATGACTGCAAAGACAACAGCAGAAGCGTTATACAACAACTTTATTACTTACTACGGAATTCCAACTCGGATACATTCAGACCAAGGAGCTAATTTCGAGAGCCAAATTATCAAAGAATTATGTCAGATTACAGGGATGAAAAAGTCAAGGACAACCCCTTACCATGCTATGGGCAACGGACAATGTGAGAGATATAACAGAACTTTACTCAACATGCTAGGAACCCTGAAACCATCACAAAAACAGAACTGGAAGCTGTATATTAATCCATTAGTATATGCGTACAACTGCATCAAGAACGAGTCAACCGGAGTTTCCCCATATTTCCTTATGTTTGGACGTGAACCAAAATTACCTATAGACATAGAGTTTGGCCTAAAGAAAGAAGAAAAGAAATCAGTATCCAAATACATCAGCAACTTGAAAGAAAACATGAAAACAGCTTATGAACTAGTCAACAAAATTACCAAGAAATCACAGGAAAGACAGAAAGACACTTATGATAGAAGAACAACAAATGCAGAAATACAGATAGGAGATAGAGTACTAGTAAAAATTGTAGCTTTTGATGGAAAGCACAAAATTGCTGATAAGTGGGAAGAAGAACCATACTTAGTAATTGAACATCCTAATCCAGAAATTCCAGTTTATAAATTACAGAAAGAAACGACAAAAGGAAAAACTCGGATATTACACAGAAACCTACTCCCAATTGGACATTTAGATTCATATAAACCCAGTTCAGAAGAATCATCAACACCATCATCTTCCAGACCCACTCCTAAACCCAGGACAAGGCAAACAAGGAAGAAACAAGAACAGGTTCAAGACAGAATACCAGAGACTAGAGAATTAGAAGATGACAGAGATGCTAGTTCTGATGAAGAGTCAGTTACAGAATTTATTCCGGTACCGGTACCAAGGATCCCTGAGGTTAACATCCCAGTAGATGTTAGTAAGCACCCAGGTGAGCAGAGTGTACACAGACCAGAAGAACAGAGAGTACAAAGCCCTAGAGAGCAGAGAGTGCAGAACCCTAGAGAGCACATTGTACAGAGCCCTAGAGAGGAGATTGTACATAGCCCTAGAGAGCAGACTGTACAGAGACCCATAGAACAGATGGATCAGATAGAGCAGAGACAGGAAAGAGAAGAAGAAATACAGCATCATGATGCAGAGGAGAGAGAAACGGAACAACAGCCAGTACAGACAGAAACAGAGCCATAGCAGGAACATGCTGAAGCTAGTAGTCCTAGATCTGATGATAAAGTAGAAGAACCTGTACCAGTGTTACCAAGGAGAAGTACTAGGGAGAGAAGAAAACCAGATAGATTGAACCCCCAGGAATATGTCTTAGCTCAGCAACAGCAGCAACAAGAATGGATGAAGAAGTGCGATTATCTGAATCGTTTGACGTCTTCAACAGAGATGAAGTCATATGAAAAAGAAATAGTTCAGACCATGCTAGATATTTTAAAGAGAAATTAATCTGTTTTTAATTGTATATATTTGTTTTTATTTCAGATCGTCCAGTTAACTTGAAGAATTGCAGTAAGAGAACAGAGTGTAGTTGGTAAGTCCATTAGAGAAATGACGGGGACGTCATTTTCTAATGGGGGGGAGTTTGTAGTAGAGGTACTTTTATTTGAAATAATAAAAGTTGGAGTGATTTTAAATGAAATAAAATAAATATTAAATATAAATTAAATAAATTAATAAACTATTAAATATGTTATAAATGATAAGTTTTTTCCGTTAAAGCTTTATTCTTTCTATTCTTTACTAACTTGGGTATTTAGTGCTATAGATATACACCCCTTTGGATCCACACCTGTACATACACTTTTACATGACCACACACATATCTATTGGTCAAGGTTTGAAATGCTTAGTTTTTATTGGTCAGTGTTTTGGTCTTTGTGGGGTAGTGAGTTTTATTCAGTTTAGACTCTAGAATTGAGACCTTGGACAATTCCTGAAATGTAAGTTTTTACTTGTTTTATGCCACAATATATGTTTTCTATAATATTTAGTTAAAAATATGGAAAACAAGATATTTTACTTTTAATTGTTACATTTTGAGTTATCTGTCTATTTATTCAGATATTGATAAATCTGATGAAGTTTTCCTATAGATTAATTTGTATATAAACCTGAAAATAGTTTGAAGTGAAGATTTTGGTAATCAAGATAATCTAAATAATTATTTATTTTGAGAAAGGTATTTGTTTAGAGCAAGTCCTTATTATTACATTTATTGTACATAGGTATCTCCATATATAACGAATATGTAAACTTGCATTGGAGAAAGTTCAGTTCCATAAATTGGTATGTCTATCTGTATATATATTTTTATGATTTGTAAAGAAATATCGAAGAAAGATAACTCTTCACAAGATTGTAAAGTGTAATTGCATTATAAGAGTTATTTCCCTTACATCATGTTTAAAGTGTATTTCTTATGTGTTATCATATAGAATGATGATAATTTACTGTAAAAGGGAAGACAGATATTTTGTTATATTTTATAATCGTAATATTTAATTGAAATAATATTTTGTACATATTTTTATGACGCAATTTGTATATTACAGGACTTCGTTATATCATATTCCAATCATCTAAAGATATCATCAAAATAAACGTATAAATTATCAACTGGTGTTTTCCATCATATTGCCGGGAATACCCGCTACAAACATATAAAATTGTGTTTGATTTTTTATTATTCTGAATTACTGATAAAAAGTTAGGGGAATATACTATATATGAACTATTTTTTGTTTGATTTAATTAATAAACCAGTAATTTTTACAAAACTTTGGATGTAATGTACCCCTTCTCATATATTTATTTTTGCTTAAATCTTTAAACAATCTGTGCCTTTCCCTGGTTGGTTCTTACATCAATCTTCTTTTTCATCAATCGTTAAGGGTCATAAATACTCTGATAAGCGAGATAACTCGCACAAAATTCTTCTCCGTTTTTATCAGAATTCCGTTTTTACCGACCGAAATTTTTGTAGTCCATGTGGAACTCTTTTTTATGTAGAGATGAAAAATAACGCGCGTTGTTAGTGATGGAAGGTAGGAAAAGATTCAAGAATGGCAGGTTCAAAGTAATGAAAAAGAACAATGTGGAGACTGATATAAACAATAATAATGTTGATTGTGGGTCAGATAATGCACATGTAACATTGTGTGAGTCAGAACTAGCTTGACAGAGTAAATCTTGCGCTGAGTCTTCCACGGACGCCAAAGAAGTTGATAGTGAATATGTTCTGCATGGCAGACGTGTTATTGACTTAAAATACTTCGCAGAAATGTTGTTTACGGGCTGCCCCTCATGTAAAAAGCCATTACATCTTGTAAATGTTGTAAAGGAGAGAAAATATGGCTTAGCGAGTATTTTTTACATCAAATGTGAATGTGGTGAAGTTACATCAGTGGCGACTGGCCGTAGACAGAATGATGAGAAAAATGGCCAAGGATCTTTTCATATTAATACTAAACTTGGAGTTGGTAGGTAATATTTAAATGTATTGTTGTTATCATAAGTTTTTATATGTAAAACATTTAATGTATATATATTCTATGTAAGTGCACTTTTCCTTATTTTTTAATTAGTACAGGTACAATTCTATTTTATATTATTTTCAGCTCTTGTTCATGCTGGAATTGGTGAGGCAGCCATTTCAAGAATTTTTGCCACCCTCAATATTCCATGTATCACCCCAAAAAGTTTAAAAAAGCAAGAGAGAAAAGCAGGATCTGCAATTGAAAAAATAGCCAATGAATCATGTGATAATGCCCTAGCACAAGAAGCAGAAAAGTCAAGGTTTGCAAACATTTCTTTTCTCAATTATAAATTGTAGATGTATATTCACTGTTTTGTAGATCATATATATGTTTTTATTAAAATGCTAATCATGCATGCATGTCTTATTGTGCATACAGGCTTATGATTAATGTCTTTTATGTAATGATTGACAATCTACCTGCATAAAATGTAAATAAAATTATACTTTTATATTGTAGCAATGGTCTTGTCCTGTCATATGATGCAGGTTGGCAGAAACGCGGCAGTGGAAGAGATTATAGTAGTCTTTCTGGTATGTAAATCTGACGTAAATTTTGAAATAGAAAAGGGCTTGCAGTGGAAATTGACTGTAGACATTATGGATAATTAAAAATACTTTCAGGAATCAAGTTGTTCAAAAATAGACACTATATAAAGAAGATTTCAAAGAAATTGAATGGAGTCAAGCTCCCGTAAAAATAATTACGACTGTATATAAAACTATGGAAAATCAGACGGGCAGCGTCGGGAACGCCAAGAACGATAGCTCTTATAAACCCTAGGTGTCTCCACTACAATGAAAATAAAAATTAACAATATTGTAAGAACTAATTCACTCTTATAAAATTTCAGGTCATGGATCAATGTTTGGTTTGGAAACAAAGAAATTGGTGGGATTTAGTGTAAAGAACAAGAGTTGTAGAAAGTGTGATATAGCATTCAGGAAAGGAGAAATTGCCTCCCCCCATGATTGCAGAAAAAACTGGGATGGCAGCTCTAAAGCCATGGAACCAGCAATGGCCGTGGACATTCTAAATAACATCAAAGAGAAAGGACATCAGGTGAGAACTATAGTAATGGATGATGATGCAACAACAATAGCAAAAATAAGGAGAGAAGTAGATGAATCCATTCACAAATCAAGTGACAGGAACCACACTGTGAAGAACTTTACAAATACTCTATACACAGTACAGAAAGATAAAAAACTACACAAGGTGCTCAGTTCAAAGACAATTAATCACATCAAGAAATGTTTCTGTTATGCCTTAGCTTCTAACAAAGATAGCCCATCAACTTTGAGAGATAACCTGCTGGCCATACCACATCATTTGTATGGTGACCATCAAAAGTGCAGTGAAACATGGTGCAGATATCTTCAAAGGCCAGATAAATACATTCCAAAGAACCTCCCATACGGAAAATACTTATCAGATAAGGAATTGTTCACTGAACTGAATCAGATCTTCACACAGTATTCAGAAATTGCTGACAAGCTCTCAACCCTGGAAAGTACTCAACGTAACGAGAACTTCAACCAAATGGTTGCACACAAAAATCCAAAAAACAGATGCTATTCAACTTCAGAGAGTACATCTGTTAGAGTAGCAGCAGCTGTGTGTCAACAGAACATGGGGGAGCAGTATGTACTTCAGGTAAGAAAGTATACCTATAATTGCATAATGTGCATGCAGAAAGGAAATATGTGAAATAAACATAATATTTGTATTTTACAATATTTATATATTTATTCATCATTGTAGGCTAATGAAGAATTGGGACTTTCCCCTGGTAGAGAAACCCAAATCTATGTTGAACGAAGACAAAAGAAAAGACAAAGGGAAGAAAGTGAAATGCAATCACGTGCATTTAAAAGGAAACGCGCTGAGAGGAAAGGGACAAAGTACTCAAAAGCAGACATAATGGAAATGAGGGAAGGTGTGACATATCAGCCAGGCATCAATCTTGCAGGATTTCCAACAGCATCAGTTGAAACAATCCCCCCTCCCCCTCCAGCAGTAATCCAAATACCTTTACCATCTGATGATTACACCAGAGTTTACTTTGATCTTGAAACAACTGGCTTAGGTATACTTGATCAATACATGTAAAATATAGTGATATCTGAAATCTGATGTGAACTATTTATTAGTCTGATTTCATGAGTACATGTATGCTTTACTGTATTATTTTTTACAGGAGTTGCAGACATAGTCCAGATTGCTGCAGTCCATAATGAAATGCAGTTTTCAACATATGTGAAGCCAGATATTCCTATATCAGCATCAGCATCAGCATCAAAAGTAATTGGACTTACATTTGACGGCACAATTATGTTCAAGTATGGCAGCCCTGTCGCCTGTCTTTCGTTAGAGCAGGCGCTACGCAACTTTCAATCTTGGCTTCATTCATTGAAAAATCCTATTTTATTTGCTCATGACTGTAGAAAGTTTGACAGTTTAGTATTTTGTAGAGCAATGCAAAAGGTGCCCACAGTTGATGTAAAGAGAAGTTTCTGAGAGTTTTGTGACACTTTGGAGTTCTTCAGAAAATCACTCCCACAGCGACAAAAGTTTTCCTTAGAAAGCCTGGTATCGAGCATTTTGAACATCACCTACAATGCTCATGATGATCTGGAGGACTGCAAAGTGTTGCAACAACTCACGGAACTTCTAGTCCATGAAGTGCAGAGTAATTTTTTGAAATATACATTTACTGTTGAAAGTTGTTTTGATATTTTGTATCTCCAATGTAGCAGTAAGTTAAACTTCGAGTTTTTGCAAACCATGTTATTTCAGAAAACATAGCAAAGAAAATTTCGTCATCAGGCCTCTCTTTTCATCATTTAGAATTGGTATTCAACAGAAGTGGTCATGACGGTATATACAACCTTAGGACGACACGTAGAGCACGATAAAGTTTAAATTTTATCATGATTTATTCAATCCAACATAAACATGTATATACAAATTGATTTTCATATTTTGCATATGTTATGTACCGGTACACGTACAAATAAACCTGCTGCGTGTCGTTGCTATGTGCAAATGGTGTGTTTGTTGTTTATTAATTGTACTTTCATCGAAAGTAATGAATGGATTTAGAGTAGAACAGGTAGAATCTTCTTCAAGACAGTTTGAATTTGAGAAATTCAACGCCAACACATACGTAATATAAATATGCAATCAGCAATCCTTCAATCTGTTCCTAGATTAAATAAACATTTTTTTAATAGGACATAGGATAAAATTAAGGTTCATTAATACTCTGCTCAAAAATATGCATCTTTTTTTTACACTCTTCTGATAAACATTTTCATTAAGCAGAATACCATCCAGTTAACATGGTATACTTTTAGATGCCTCTTGCGATACTACTTTCTTCAAGAATTATTAATCAAGTTAATCATATTATGAAGAAAAATCAAACACTACTTACAAAATATAACAATTTATTGTCAAAGAATCAAATTAAAAATATGTAACATATATAACAACAATATATAGTGTCAACTGAATATAAAACAACAAACAAAACATAGGGTAGCGATGCTTTTTTTTGTCACAATAAATTTGTCAAAAATTCTACATTGAAAATTTTCGTTTGTTTTTAAGAGTTACCTCCCTTTGAAAAACAAAGACACAGCAGATATAATGTTCTTCCTATTTGTTACACGTGCATGACCATTTATTTTCTCTGTAAAAAGGTTGTATATACCGTCATGACCACTTCTGTTGAATGCCAATTCTAAATGATGAAAAGAGAGGCCTGTGTTGTGAGGTGTGTATTGTTTCATCATGTATATTATTAGTAACATTAAGTTTCTTGAACATTCCAGAGTGGTCAACATGTTCGGTAATTTTCTAGAACATTCTTGAACTTTGTGTATGTCCAGAACTTTCCAGTAATATCATGTACTTACAACTTCTAGAATATTCTAGATTTATAATACTGTATAAATACCCTGTCCATTCGATGCATAGGGATACTGTGTCGTATGAGCATTATTGAGATACAACTTTGATATATTTCACTGGGACATTGTGTGCAGCAACGGACACTCTGATGTATGTATTCTTAGATTCTTGCTAAGTTTGTACTTTATGTTTCATATACTTATTATATATTACTGTAAATAAATTATTGTTAAGTTTAAATTGTGTTATTGATCTTTGCTGGCATTTCGGGTAATTCTGACCCATAACACCTGATGAAGAAATTTTCTTTGCTATGTTTTCTGAAATAACATGGTTTGCAGCAAGCATTGACAAAGACTCGAAGTTTAACTTACTGCTACATTGTAGATATAAAATATCAAAACAACTTTCAACAGTAAATGTATATTTCAAAATATTACTCTGCACTTCATGGACTGGAAGTTCCGTGAGTTGTTGCAACACTTTGCAGTCCTCCAGAGCATCATGAGCATTGTAGGTGATGTTCAAAATGCTCGATACCAGGCTTTCTAAGGAAAACTTTTGTCGCTGTGGGAGTGATTTTCTGAAGAACTCCAAAGTGTCACAAAACTCACAGAAACTTCTCTTTACATCAACTGTGGGCACCTTTTGCATTGCTCTACAAAATACTAAACTGTCAAACTTTCTACAGTCATGAGCAAATAAAATAGGATTTTTCAATGAATGAAGCCAAGATTGAAAGTTGCGTAGCGCCTGCTCTAACGAAAGACAGGCGACAGGGCTGCCATACTTGAACATAATTGTGCCGTCAAATGTAAGTCCAATTACTTTTGATGCTGATGCTGATGCTGATATAGGAATATCTGGCTTCACATATGTTGAAAACTGCATTTCATTATGGACTGCAGCAATCTGGACTATGTCTGCAACTCCTGTAAAAAATAATACAGTAAAGCATACATGTACTCATGAAATCAGACTAATAAATAGTTCACATCAGATTTCAGATATCACTATATTTTACATGTATTGATCAAGTATACCTAAGCCAGTTGTTTCAAGATCAAAGTAAACTCTGGTGTAATCATCAGATGGTAAAGGTATTTGGATTACTGCTGGAGGGGGAGGGGGGATTGTTTCAACTGATGCTGTTGGAAATCCTGCAAGATCGATGCCTGGCTGATATGTCACACCTTCCCTCATTTCCATTATGTCTGCTTTTGAGTACTTTGTCCCTTTCCTCTCAGCGCGTTTCCTTTTAAATGCACGTGATTGCATTTCACTTTCTTCCCTTTGTCTTTTCTTTTGTCTTCGTTCAACATATATTTGGGTTTCTCTACCAGGGGAAAGTCCCAATTCTTCATTAGCCTACAATGATGAATAAATATATAAATATTTTAAAATACAAATATTATGTTTATTTCACATATTTCCTTTCTGCATGCACATTATGCAATTATAGGTATACTTTCTTACCTGAAGTACATACTGCTCCCCCATGTTCTGTTGACACACAGCTGCTGCTACTCTAACAGATGTACTCTCTGAAGTTGAATAGCATCTGTTTTTTGGATTTTTGTGTGCAACCATTTGGTTGAAGTTCTCGTTACGTTGAGTACTTTCCAGGGTTGAGAGCTTGTCAGCAATTTCTGAATACTGTGTGAAGATCTGATTCAGTTCAGTGAACAATTCCTTATCTGATAAGTATTTTCCGTATGGGAGGTTCTTTGGAATGTATTTATCTGGCCTTTGAAGATATATGCACCATGTTTCACTGCACTTTTGATGGTCACCATACAAATGATGTGGTATGGCCAGCAGGTTATCTCTCAAAGTTGATGGGCTATCTTTGTTAGAAGCTAAGGCATAACAGAAACATTTCTTGATGTGATTAATTGTCTTTGAACTGAGCACCTTGTGTAGTTTTTTATCTTTCTGTACTGTATATAGAGTATTTGTAAAGTTCTTCACAGTGTGGTTCCTGTCACTTGATTTGTGAATGGATTCATGTACTTCTCTCCTTATTTTTGCTATTGTTGTTGCATCATCATCCATTACTATAGTTCTCACCTGATGTCCTTTCTCTTTGATGTTATTTAGAATGTCCACGGCCATTGCTGGTTCCATGGCTTTAGAGCTGCCATCCCAGTTTTTTCTGCAATCATGGGGGGAGGCAATTTCTCCTTTCCTGAATGCTATATCACACTTTCTACAACTCTTGTTCTTTACACTAAATCCCACCAATTTCTTTGTTTCCAAACCAAACATTGATCCATGACCTGAAATTTTATAAGAGTGAATTAGTTCTTACAATATTGTTAATTTTTATTTTCATTGTAGTGGAGACACCTAGGGTTTATAAGAGCTATCGTTCTTGGCGTTCTCGACGCTGCCCGTCTGATTTTCCATAGTTTTATATACAGATGTAATTATTTTTACGGGAGCTTGACTCCATTCAATTTCTTTGAATTCTTCTTTATATAGTGTCTATTTTTGAACAACTTGATTCCTGAAAGTATTTTTAATTATCCATAATGTCTACAGGCAATTTCCACTGCACGCCCTTTTCTATTTCAAAAATTACGTCAGATTTACATACCAGAAAGACTACTATAATCTCTTCCACTGCCGCGTTTCTGCCAACCTGCATCATATGACAGGACAAGACCATTGCTACAATATAAAAGTATAATTTTATTTACATTTTATACAGGTAGATTGTCAATCATTACATAAAAGACATTAATCATAAGCCTGTATGCACAATAAGACATTCATGCATGATTAGCATTAAAAAAACATATATATGATCTACAAAACAGTGAATATACATCTACAATTTATAATTGAGAAAAGAAATGTTTGCAAACCTTGACTTTTCTGCTTCTTGTGCTAGGGCATTATCACATGATTCATTGGCTATTTTTTCAATTGCAGATCCTGCTTTTCTCTCTTGCTTTTTTAAACTTTTTGGGGTGATACATGGAATATTGAGGGTGGCAAAAATTCTTGAAATGGCTGCCTCACCAATTCCAGCATGAACAAGAGCTGAAAATAATATAAAATAGAATTGTACCTGTACTAATTAAAAAATAAGGAAAAGTGCACTTACATAGAATATATATGCATAAAATGTTTTACATATAAAAACTTATGATAACAACAATACATTTAAATATTACCTACCAACTCCAAGTTTAGTATTAATATGAAAAGATCCTTGGCCATTTTTCTCATCATTCTGTCTACGGCCAGTCGCCACTGATGTAACTTCACCACATTCACATTTGATGTAAAAAATACTCGCTAAGCCATATTTTCTCTCCTTTACAACATTTACAAGATGTAATGGCTTTTTACATGAGGGGCAGCCCGTAAACAACATTTCTGCGAAGTATTTTAAGTCAATAATACGTCTGCCATCCAGAACATATTCACTATCAACTTCTTTGGCGTCCGTGATAGATTCAGCGCAAGATTTACTCTGGCAAGCTGGTTCTGACTCACACAATGTTACATGTGCATTATCTGACCCACAATCAACATTATTATTGTTTATATCAGTCTCCACATTGTTCTTTTTCATTACTTTGAACCTGCCA